TCTCTTCCATTTCTTTTATTCTGTTGGTAATGCTTATGTCTGTAGTTTCTGTTCATTTATTCAGATTTTCCTTTTCCTGAATTCCCTCAGTTTGAGCTTTCTTTATTGCCTCTATTTCAGTTTTCAAGTCTTGAACTGTTTCCTTCACTTGTTTGGTTGTTATTTCTTGGGTCTATTGACTTTCTTTAAGAGATTTATTGATTTCCTCCAACTTTTTGTTTGTCTTTTCCTCCATTTCTTTAAGGGAATTTTTCATTTCCTCTTTTAGGGCCTCTATCATCTTTATAAAGTTGTTTTAAAGGTCCTTTTCTTCTGGAACATCTGCTTTGGGATGTTCAGGTTTGGCTGTTGTAGGATTACTAGGTTCTGATGCTACTACATTGCTCTTTATGTTGTTTAATGTGTTCTTACACTGCAGTCTACCCATTTCTTCCTTTAATATAAACAGGTGGAGCTCCAGATCACTCTTCTTCAATTGGTGCAGGTTGACCCTCAGGCTCCTGTGGTTGCTCTTCTTCCCAATCAGTCCAGGATAAAGCATATGGCTCTGGTGGTCACTGGTGCCTAACAGGATGGTTGGCCAAAGGTGGGGGTAGGAGGAGGTTGATTCCCAGTCTCTGGAGCTGCACTGGGTCGGGGAAGTGGCACGGAATGTGCCTTCAGGGTCTAGGGGGCTATTGAACTGGGCTGAGCAGTCTGGAGACTGGGTCCTCACCTGTTTCCAATTGGTGCAGAGTGGGCATACAGGCCTGGTCACCTCCCATCCTCTTAAAGTATGGGAAGGAAAGTTACACATTAAGGATGGTAAGTATGCTTTGTCTTTTAGACTGATTGAAAGCCAGCTTTTTATGGCTTGTGTACTAGCTACTAAACGGGCCTGTACAATTGTACCCTAATAATTACTGCATCACTTGTGACTGCTGTACCCTCCATACCTGTGTTAATTCTAGTATGTCTTTAAACTTACTCTTTCAAAGTTTATATATTCTTAGAACAAGGACAACAATCTGGATAGCAGTGAAGTTGTCGATGCCATGTCAAGATACACACATTTGATGAACCTGGTACAAAAGGTAGCTGAAATAATATTAAGATTACATCAAATGGTTGGATTTTGCAGTTGATTATTGCAGTTATTATGGGAATTATTGCATTGACTGCTACTAGTGCAACAGCCAGAGTGGTGCTTCATAAAAGCAATTCCAACTACTGAGTTTGTTAGAAACTGGCATATGTATTCTACAGAACTTTGGATTGAACAAAATAAAATAGACAATGAGATAGTTAATGAATTACCTGATTTGAGACAAGCTGGTATATTGTTGAGAGATCAGTTAGAACTATCAAAGGAGCAAATAAAGTTAAAATGTGATTGGAATGTTATGTATTACTCCTTTAAAGTTTAATGAAAGCGAGTATGGTTGGGAAAAGATAAAAATGCATTTGATGGGTCACCCTTACTCTTCTCAAATGATTTATGATTTACAGCAAGAAATTAAGAATTGTTAAATGTTACCTGATATGACAAGAATGGATGTTATGGAAAGCCTTGCAGATACTATAGCCTCATTCAACCCTGCACATCACTTTAACAGATTTCTTGTTTTAGCAAGGGTTATTCTTTTGCTGGCAACAGTAACCTTATTGGCTTTAAGATGTGTTTTGATTTACTTACATAGATTGTAAAACAGAACAATAGAGAAAAGGCTGTATTTGCTGTGAAGCTACATAACCTCCAAAATAATTAATTGTTGCATGTAAAAAGGGGGATATGTTGGGAGAATTTCTGCAGAACTGCAGCTGGTTTGATTCCTGAGTGTTAGCACCTAGCTTTGATCTGCCTTTTGTGATTGCTACCTCCTGTCTGCATTATCTCCTGTTTGAAGTCTTATCTGAGAGTTTGCTAGGAGTTCAAAGCCTATGAAAACTTGGTTCAGGGACACCCCAGAAAACTGTAGTATTCCTTTACTGAGAATTTGCATTTGGCATTGTCCCATTGAGGGGCTTAGATAAGAGGTATAAGGAATTGACTTGCTAAAGTTGTGAATTGCATAACAATAAAAGGGTCCTTTGCTTATCTACAGTGTTTCAGTTCAGAGAGATGGACCCCCTCTGAATGTGATAAAGTCTAAAATCATTATTAGAGTGCTCTGTGCCTTCTTTCTTTGAGCCCCATGAACACACATCCAATATACCACAGTTTCTCTTAGGAAAAGGAGATTGAGTGAATAGCACCTGGATTGTTAAGGCTGATGTTATCTCCACCTTCAGATCCTATTCCTGGTCTGAGCCAGGGCCTCCACCATCACATCTACAAGTGGCCAGCATGAAGAGAATCAAAGCAAAGGGCCCCCTCTTCCCTTCTCAAAAGCAGAAATTTAGCCTTGAGCAGGTTCTGCCAGGGAAGAAACTGAGGTTCAAGGGGGGAAATGCACTCGGCCTTGGCCACATTGTCATTGGGGATCCTAGGGCTTACAGGCAGTCTCAAGTGCTCCCTCATGCTCATTCTCAGCCCTGAGCCCAGCTGTCTTCCTGAACACTGGAAATCCCAAGCTCATGTTTCTGACTTTGTACCTGTTCCTGACTTTATGACAGATACAGTCTCTTCCTCCCTCTGCATGAACTCTGGAAGCAGTACATCCACGACCTGTGCAACAGGCTCAAGCCAGACATGTGAGTTTATTTCTGAAGCCTGCCATGGGATTAGACCCCAAGTCTTCAGAGCACTAGAGATGCAGCCTGAGAAACCATCTGGCTGTGGGTGTTTGTGATCCTGCTTGCTTTGTTACCAATGCGTCTTTGTGGGCTCTCTTCACCACCTAGGCAGCCACAGATGATTCAGGCCAAGCACATAAAGGCAAATCTTCATGGTGCTATTATCTCAGGTAATTTCTATGAGAGCATATGTTCATCTGGGCACTGTTATTCAGTGGCAGTATTCTGCCTGTCATCTGTTACTTGGTATCCCTGAGTTATTTCTAAGTTACAAACAGTGAAGGTCTAAGATGGTTGTGACATGACCCATCCTGAGACTTTGTTAAACACACTAAGTGCTCTCTGCATGTCATTGGCTCACACTGTTGGAACCTAGCTGGGACTCTTGGGGGCAGATTCTCTCTCATCATGGTTTCCAGTGTGCCATCACCAGTGCAGACCTTTCCTGTGATTGCCAGACTCATTCACCTCATTGCACCCAACAGCCACCTGGACATCCAGGAGGTACCTCAAACTACCTATTTAACACAGAACCTTTGGTCTCCATTTAGGTCAGCTCTCTGTGACTTGAATTCCCCATCTGCAAAAATGACACATCACTGTATACAATTTGTTCAGCCTAGAAACCTAGAAACACACACATCACCTCTTTCCTAATCATCCACCTCAAGTCATGTAATACCTTGTTTTTGAATCTAACTTACATCCAGCTCCCTCAAGTTGGTATGGAAGCTTTTCCTCCCCCTCCCCCAGCTCACATACTGTTTTATTCCACATACACACCAGATGAAATTCCCAAAATGAGGGCTGTTATCAGACATCAGACTACCAGCTGTCATTTGCCTCTTCTTTAGCAGCTTACCATCCAGTCAGAGTAAAAGTTTTCAGTGTCCCTGGCTGACCTCTGTATGACTAGCACATCGGGAGCCTTTGCTTAGGTCCTTCTCTTAATCAGGGTACTCTGCAGGTTTGTGTATTGATTCCTGTTGTAACTTAGGTCACATTTCTGATGTCACTTGCTGAGAGTCTACCACTCCTAAAGTTTTCTCCTCTACTCAAATTATTCTGTTATTATTTTCCTTACAGCCATTATCAGTATCAAGAAATATAAATGCCCAGGTGTTGTTATACACTGTCCTTCATGAGAACTTCAGCTTCATTCAGTGTCCTACCCCAGCACCCACCTAGCTTGCATGCTGGGCACATAGTTTGCTCTAAATGTTTACGACATGGAAGTGGGCAGGCGCCTGCCTTTGAGGGGGCTCACCCCTTAGTGCTGGGCAGCTCTATAAAAGAACTACATTCCAGGAACGGTTCAAGAGGCCCCAAAATGAACAGTGGGTGTCCTACTGATGGCAGTTGCTCCACCAAGGCAACAAGACTTGGCTTTGTTGGTTCTGTGTATGACCTGTTGGCTCCAGAACCCTGCCTAAAGCCCAAAGGACACTTAAGAACAGCCCGGAGATTGCAAAGCCCAGGACAGAGAGTTGGGGTACCTTGGCTCTTGCTGGCTTGATCATTGCCAGGTTACAAAGGCACTATCCTCTGGACTTTCTTCCTCATCTGTGAAGGACCAGGCTACCAGTCCCTCAGGCCAGGCTGTGACTGCCAGAACTAACCAGGACTTACCCTCAAATTTTTTCTCCTTTGCAGTCATGAAATCCAAGTGACCCTCTTATTGGGGGGACACAGGAATCCTTCCGCAGGAGACAAGGCATGTCTTCAAGACCATCACCGAAGAAGACAACCTAGGGTGTCTTCTATTTTTGTCCCTAGGGTGTTGGATATATATCTCCAGTGAGGCTCCCAAGTTCCACTTGGCTGTGGAGTCACACAAGCTGCAGGTGCTTGCTATGTTATGAACTCCAGAGAGAGGCCCCTGCATCTCTGGCTCCCAGGAGACATCTATGAATACAGCAGCCTGTTCATAAACAGGACAGAAGAATGGCTTGGCTGGGTCTTGGTCCCAGGGTTGTTCAAGGTCTCTACCTGTCAATGTCATTGAAGGGGCCTCCCACACAGCAGGGGCTCCCTTCCAGACCCTGGATTAGGTACAAAGCACACCCAAACACCAGTTTTCACAGAGAGATAGTCTGTTAAGCTGGGAAGAAATGTTGAAGTGGCTGCTTTCTGATTCAGGCAGAAAAACAGCATCAAATGACTTTGCAGGTGTCTCTTAAGAAGATAAAAGGACAGGTTTGTGTTAGAATGAGCTGGGATGCATTCATATAGGAGATAGATTATGAGGGAGATGAGGAAGGGAAGGACAGGGTTATTTATCCCAGAAGGACAAAGTACTGTCTCTGGATAGAAAGGAGACAGCCATGGAACATAGGCAAATGCCTGGTTATAAAGCTGTTATTCTGAGTTGTTTAATTTTAATTGGACATGTTAATTAGTTGAGCCAAAGGGGGCTTCTGATGGCTGGACTTTGGTTGTCAGCCTTAGGAGGAAGAAGTGGCCAAATAGGTGACTAGACCTTGATGGCTAGCTTTAGGAGTGTAATCTAAGGATTTTTAGCAAGGAAGAAGGAATAGGGGAGAAGGGCAAGGCCTGTCAGAGACACATGCTTTAGTGGGCTAGTGTCCTTTCAGTCACCATCTCTCAAATGTATAACTAAAAGGCACAGAGGAGGAACCAAAACAGCCTGCCCCTGGAGTTCTGAAAACTGTACCCTTTCTGGAGACACTCTGAGTTTTAACATGGTTAGCACTGCTCTAAGCAGGTACTTTTGAATCTTCTGAGATAACTGTACCTGACCTTGCCCACAAATCCAAAGTTGAAACAACCATTAGGGGGTTTTGTACTGATTCATCTGTTGATGCTGGAGATCAAGCCCAGGACCTCTGTCTGCTAATCCTGTGCTCTGCACCTGAACTGTTATGCCCCAGATCTCAGGCACCCCTAAATGACCACCATGGAGACTGAATCACATATTTAAAAATAAAGAGCATTTATTTCAAGCTCAAGTTTGGTCTTTCCATCTAGTAACTCTGAGAATCGATAATTAAAAATCTTTGCATGGGTAAATTGAAAGGAACCACATGGCATGATTCCATTTTGGATTGCCACCACTTTTATTTAGTCACATGGCGATTTGCTGTCTTCCTAGAGTTAGAGATGGTGGACATCATGTGACTTTACCATCTTTGGGCAGTCAGTCACATGTCTGGCAGTCAAATTTGCTAGGGTTAGAAAAGATGAATATCAGCCGGGCAGTGGTGGTGCATGCCTTTAATCCCAGCACTCAGGAGGCAGAGCCAGGCGGATCTCTGTGAGTTCGAGGCCAGCCTGGGCTACTAAGTGAGTTCCAGGAAAGGCGCAAAGCTACACAGAGAAACCCTGTCTCCAAAATCCAAAAAAAAAGAAAAAGAAAGAAAAGATGAATGTCAATGATTTCACTACCATATTGATTAATGACCACGTGGAGTGGGCCTACTAAGGAGGCATCAACAATTTTCCAAGGTATGTTGGATTTTGGTGGATTTTTGTATGATAAGTCATGTCCTGTCCTAAAAACAAGATTTATAGAACATAGGATTTAAAAACAATGGTTGTTTAATAAGATATTAAATCTGCACCCCAATGCTTTATACACAAGATTGTACCTTGATTTGGCTAAACTTCATAATTTGAAAGTCACCCAGGTGATAACAGCTTTATAGACATTAGGGGATCATGGAGAACAGCTGAAGGTTGCAAAGTATGGCAAGGTTAGAATTCCAAAGAGAGTCCAGTTGCAAGAGTGGACGTTAACAGTTTTGGAAATGCCAGTGTCAGGTTTTAATCTCCAGAAACACCAGCCACAATGAAATGGAGCAGGCTGAGTTCTAGAAGGCAGGCTATGTGTATGCTGCTGAGGGTGGGGCCTAAGAGAAGATCCAAACCTCTCAAAAAAAGATGGTGAATGAATTCCAGATATTGAATATTGGGATTGTTTGCACTATTGGAGCTTGGTTTTGCCCTATACAGATTGTGGTTATGCCATACTTTCTCCTTCTTAAAACAAAAGAAGGTACTTTATTTTTGATATTGCAGACAGACATTTGAAAGATTTCAAACCTTTTTTTAAAACTTAAATTTATATGTTTATGAAATGTTTTGTATTGTTAATATTTGGACTTAAAATAAAAGGATAAAAATTAGGGTCACAGCCAAAATCATTAAACACTAACCAGAAGCTGTGGTGCTCATTTCTTGTGATGCAGCAATACAATGACCTAAGCAGTCTGTCAGAGTGGTTGGAGCAGCTTCTGAGACCATGAGTCTCAGCCTTTGGGGGATTGAAAAACATTTTTACAGGGGTAACCTAGGACCACCTGCATGTCAGATGTTTTCATTGAGATTCACAACAATGGCAAAACTGTAGTTATGAAGCAGCAAAGGGAAAAATTTTGTAGCTGAGGGTTACAACATGGTGAAATATATTGAAACATCAAAGTACAGGGAAAGTTGAGAACCAGTGGCTTAGAGAATATCTCTCCCTACTCAAGGTCTATTCAGGCTTAAGAATGTATTTTTAACCTCTTTGTGCTAACTTTGTTAAGCTTAAGCTATTTGGATAAACTGAGTCAAATAAATGTTTTGTATTGATACTAAAAGGAGCTTCAAGTGAGAAATTGTTGTTTTTAAGGCTCATACTTAACACAGACAAGACTACAAAGTCCTTTTCCCAAGGTCAGGCTCCCATTTCCTCAGGAGACTGGAGAAAGTTCTTGCTTGCTAAAAAGGGAGTCAGCCTCCTTATGTCTGGTAAAAAGAACTTGTGGCCCTTCCATTAACCCATGGCTGTGGATCCTAACAACTTGTCAAAGGCAATGCTAGTCCCTAGGCTCCCAAGTGTTCCCATTTTGCTCTGGGCCTTTTCTCTTGCCGTTTTTCCTGCCTGTCCATAAGACAGTCTTAACAGCTTGATACAAACTTGTTTTATTTTTACCCATGGAATGGCTATTTTGTTTTGGTTTCTTTACTGAGCCCATTATCTATGATTAAAAGGTTTTATTTTGATACTAAAAGAGCTTCAACTAAAAATCATTGTTTTGAAGGCTAAAGCTGACAGGAATGGAATGTAAGTTCCTAGTCATAGAAAAGTTGCTTACTTATTGCAGACTGTTAGGGAACACAAGTTAATAGTCAGTCATATTATGAATGATCAAGCTATTTAATGGTAGTTATGCTAAGTACTGATATAATTAATTATAGGGACAATCCTTACTTAGTCCCCTGTATATGTTTTCAGTGTTGAACTTAAAACAAGTAACTACAAAGGAAGTTGTCTATTCAGGAAGCTCTCAAATACTTCAGAGAGCTGTAGAATATGGCATTTGAAATGTTGATTAAAAAGCTTATTATATCAGACAGATACTCTCAGATCCTAGCAGTGACTCAAGGTCTCCAAAGAAGATTACAAGGTACTAAAATGTCTATACCTGGATTGTGACAATGCTGACCACTGGGCAAGATGCCTTGATGTCACACCTGCTGCCAAGACCCAGCCCAGACTTGACAAGCAACAGGACCCTAAAGAATTGTGTGTACCACTTTTGCCTAAACAAAGTAAGATCAATCTTCCCCATGTTCCTTTTCTACAAGAAAAACTTTCACCTTATTTGCCTGGTGAAGACTGATGCTTTTCTGATACTTCTGCTTCCAATGCTACAGAGACCTGGGTATAGTTAACTGGGAATGTCCTGGTCTCTTTGGCAAACTGGGAATTGACTGGTCCCAGTCATTTTTAAATAGATTAGAAAGCTGCTTGGTCTGTACTCAGGTATAATTTATCCTTCTCAGTTCTTGGATAGTATTGACGGTTAGGATAGCTATGACTTTGTCAGCTTGGCATCATTAAATAGCATTAAACACAAGGCTATAGCCAGTTTGTTAGCTGATTTTATATATAAAAATCAAGGCTTGCTTTTTCTAAACCTACTATGTCTTTTGTTAAAAAAAAGTTCTAGGATATGAAAGTCTATGCAAATTTTGAGTGTCTAAGAATGTTAAGATATATAAAGTTCTGAGGATATGAAAGCTTATAAGGTTTGAGGGTCTTAGAAAATTATTTAAGATGTAAATGCATGTTATAAAGATATAAATGTGTAATTTAACATATGAGAAATATTTTATATTGTTCTCCCTTTCTCTGGTATAAAAGTTTGGAGCTTAACATTTAATAGAGTTCTGATAAGCTGTTAGAGCTGTGACTACTTACTGTTCAGTCACAAGCTCAAGATTTTTAGATTTATTTTGGTTGTAAACTAAATATAAATTTAAAGGTGCTTCTAAGACCACACTGTCCAATCTATACCTGGCTCAGGACACAAGGAAAATATACATGCTTTTAACCCAAATTTGTAGTTTTTACTAGAACTCTAAGATATGAGTCCATTCCTGCTGTTTTACAGATACTCATTATCTGCTTTGTCTATGATATGGATTTTGGTATATATTGGTAATACTAATATATCTAAAAATTTAACTACTTTGTAAAGAATTTGTATAGGCTTCAGAGGACCAAAAATTCATAAAAGCAAGATCCACTTCACAGAGGTCAAAGGTACTCCAGATAAGTAGAGCCTAAATTTTCCCTACCTGTCTATTCTTGATGATGGTATTTTTGACTCTCCTGGTCTTAGAACTCCTCCCCTTTCTACTTACTATATTTAAAATTTCAAAAAAGTTCATAAATTTTAACTTTTGTTCATACTTTAAATTTGTCTAAACAGTTTTCCACTTGGCTGACAGAAACATTCAAGCATCAGTTGATAACAACTAGCTCTGGACTTGCTAAAAGCTAATGTGGACCAGGTCAACCAATGTCATTGTTCCCTGTCTCTACTGCTGGGTCAAATAACCACGTATTTCTGACAAGTGCCCCACTGCTCAGACTTTGACTGACCTTCCAGATTTTGACTAGTATCTCAGCCTTTTGAGGCCCTGACAACTATGCCCCTATATCAGCAGGAAGCAGTTACAGAGGAGAATACATTGTCCTGTACTCCCTGTCCATAATAGGTTGAAATACTGAGTCAAAAAGAAACTCCCTGGAATAGAGAACAAAATTGCTAACTATTATGCTCATTGACATACCAGGAAAATGGGCCCAGAACTGTCAATTGATGGGTTCATTAACTACAATAATTCTACAGTAAGATAAGACACTTGACCTTCTTTATGGAGAAACAAAGAGGTTTTACATGGCCTTAAGAAATTATTATTTCTATATAAATTATTCAGGATTATAATCTAGTTGTGTGCAAAGATAGGAACTACAGGGCATTAAGAATGGTAATAGATGAATATGTCACTGCCCTAGAAAAGTCTGTTAGCTAATAGTTCTTAGTTCCCAATACCCTTGAGCCCCAGGACAGATAGGTCTCATGATTGAGTCTTGTCATTGGTGCTTGTGAATTTGGGGAGAGATATGGGGCCTGAGGCAGTTGCCATGACAAGCTTAATAGAAACCAACTAAAAAGTAGGCCTGAGCTTGCATGCAGGCATCACATGGATCTAGAAAATGCCATAAGCTGAACCCACCCAGGGATGGCCAGCAACTAAGGGGAAATACCTCAAAACAACCTCAATACTATAAGAATGGAGGCAAGATAAAAAGAATGCCCATGTGTCTGAGGCCAGTGTGAGATACACCAAAAGCTTCTGAAAAACAGGGGCTAGAGAGACTTGCCTATCTCAGGAAAACAAAAGACCAGAAGGAGAGAAAACATCCAGAGGTAGACAAGTCTGGGCAGCAAATAGCAACAAGTTTGAAAGTAGTAACATGTGCAACAAGGTTCACCATTAGCCCCTCAAGTGCTTGCTTCTACCAGCAGCATCCAATTACAAGCATCTTTACGATGTACAAAGACCACTGCTTTTGCAAATTCACCATGATACTGCCCACAACTTTAAGGATACAGGGTCATGCTGGCCCAAGAATCAAACCCTACCAAAAAGGGATGAAAAGCAGAGAAGA